GTAGTAGTTACCTTTCCTCTCATCTAGAAATTGGAAAGTTTTTCGGGAAACACCCTTTACAACAACTCACAAAAACACAGCCTTTGGTTGCTTATTTTAACTCACTCACATTTGCTGCAGGGGCATTGCATGATATAGTCATGTAAGCTGAAAGTTTCGGTAAACAAACTCCAGCACCTGTTGGATTGGTTTGGCCAATCGGCCACCTCCTACATTTGGTCCACAGATCAATCCAATGGAATGAGTTCATCATTTGGCTTTCAATTATCATACTCTTTAGGATATCAGCGGATATCCGAATGTGAAGCGGCCACCTCTATCCATGATAGACTGGTTGGAAGGATTTAGTTTTTAGAAGCAAGAAACATCTGAACCACCCCTCAGTAAGGTTAGAGAAAAACCCATGATTTTTTGTATTTTTCTCTCCATATGGTATGGGTTACTGGGTATTAGAGAGTTATGGGTTTGATAGCCTTTTTTGGCTGTCCACCAACTTGGTGGACACATTTTGCCATGGGTTACAGGAGAGTATGGGTTAATACAGGTATGGGTTAGAGCAGAGTTGACTGTAACACAAACCTGTTTCGGCTTGGCTAGGGTGGCTCTGCAGCAAGAGTGATCCGTTGAGATTAGATGAAACAGACACAAAGGTTATGATAGAGATCGTTCGTTTGTACTCGGGTACCTGTTGAATTTTTTCAAAAAATAGGTAACAAGTACCGCACCAGGCACCTCCCGGCGGGTACCGGCGGTACTTTTGGCGGGTACCGCGGGTACCTCCCCTTTCTTTCTAACCTAGGTTCACTTTCAGATTACCAAGTCACTTTATTATTATTATTTTTTTCATATTTATTGTAAAATATCAGTCCCAAGTCACTTTTTTTCCATTCTTTCATATTTATTGTGAAATGTTGACAACAAATTGGAAGAATCCTACTGTGTTATTATATTTTCATATTTATTGAAAATGTCATTCCCAAGTCACTGTTTTTCCTTTTGTCATATTTGTTGTAAGACATCTTAAACTAATTGGAAGAACCTTACTTCATTATTATTATTATTTTCATATTTATTGTAAAATATTACTCAAGTCACTTTTTTGGCATTTGTTTCATATTTGTTGTCAAGTATCTACATCTAATGGGAAGAATCTTGCCTTTTTTCATATTTATTGTAAAACATCAATCCCAAGTCAATTTTTTCATTTGTTCACATTTGATAATTTATTTTAAAGCTTAAACTGTCTACAAATTATATCTAATTAGATTATTAGAAGAATCTTCATCGTTGTCCAAAACTATCACCTTCCTTTTTAATTTTTGGTTAGACTTCTTGTTATCCTTGAGTCCCTGTTTCCATGTAGCCAAGGTACCTTCTTGGAGTTCTTGGAGTAGAAGGCCACCATCATTTTGGTAGGGAAGTGAGGGGGTACCTGTAGCGGTACCTAGGTACCTGTTCAATTTTTCACAAAAATAGGTACCAAGTACCGCACCTGGCACCTCCCAACGGGTGCGGGGCGGGTGTGAAGGGTACCCCCCAAGCAGTACTAGGTACCTAGCAAAGGGTACCGCGGAACCATCTCTAGGTTATGAAGACAACCTTCCAGGTTCCATCAAAATTGGAAGCAACCAGGTGAGCAAAAAGCCAGCCTGACCAGTCTTAGCACGGCCGCTGTCTCTCCCAATCGGACAATTTCAAATTCTTTAGCAATTTTTTATTTGAAGTTGGCAGAAGAAACTGAGTCCTCAAACTTAAAATTAGGGCCTGTGCCATATGACATGAAAATCAATTTTTCAAAATTTGTCTTGCTCAAAATTTCATATCCAAAGTGACCAGTCTTTGACATGAAAGTGATCCACTGGAGGACTTCCCATCACAATTTGGAGTGCTTTTTAGACCTCTCTCAGTCTTAAATTCAGAACAAAATTAAGATTCCAACCAGCTCATGCAAGAGCTATTGCCAGAACTTGAAGGCTCCAGAAAAATATTTTTTTTTGATAAAAAATTAGATCTAAGGGGTGTAAATCAACTTCTGGGGGGGGGGGGGGGTTGTAGATTGTGACAGGAAGTCATCCACTAGAAAATGGGTTTTACCACAAACTTCTACACACTTTGAAGCATAGGAAATATATTTGAAATTTCCAAAAATAATAAAAATAAGCAGTAAAAAATTAATTGAAAACCCGTGGTTAAACATAGAAACCATGTCTAATGCTGTACGCAGCAGAAACCATGTCTCAACGCAGACACGGCGAAAGGGGTTGTAACCGATACAACCCCTTTCGCCGTGAGAAAAACCATGTTTTTTTATTAAGACCCTTTTTTTGAGGCTGTCTTTCTCTTTTTACCCCTTTTTTGTTGAGGCTGTCTTTCTCTTTTTTTTTCTTTTGATTTCCATTTATTATTTTGTTGAGGCTGGGATTTGTGTGTTGATTTTTTTTGGAGGCTGTGTCTACCATCTGTTTCGATTTTGCAACACATAAATCCCAACTTGTTTATAATGGGTTGCACACTAATGGTTGCAAATTTCCTTGAAGGAAGGCAAAGATATAGTTTAACAAATCATATTTCTTGCAGCACACAAGGTTTTCAATAAATGCCCCGCAAAATTATACTACATGGGGCTTTGTATGCAATTTTGAGGGCCTCCCAACCCTTTTTTCTTGTAACCCTTATTTGTGGGTGATGGTTTGCAAAATTGCACAAATCCCCAGGGGTTTTAGATTTTCACAAACCATCTGAATTGCAAACCATATGTCTTTCAAAATATGATTTGTAAAATTATGACAACCCTTAAACAACCCCTGAATCTGATTCATCAGGTGCCTCTATTTAAATTGTATCAATATTTCATTTGGGACTCGGAAAAACGACTCCCTTTTTTTTGCCAATGACTCCCAAACGTCCGTTGGGAGTCGTCTTCTAAAGTTTGGGCGTATTTTGGGAGTCGTCCGCCCAATTTCATTTTTATTTTTTATTATTTTTTTTGGGGGGGAGTCGACTCCCCAAACCACCCCTCATGTTTGAGGGGGTTTGGGAGTCGCTCCCACTTGACCGGAAGGAACCCCTTCTGGTCAGTGAGGAAGCTAAACCTCATTGAGCAGAAGGACCGGAAGGGATTCCTTCCGGTCAATGAGGAAGATATCCCTCATTGACCGGAAGGGATCCCTTCCGGTTGATGAGGAAGATTGAACTCATCAACCGGAAGGAATTCCTTCCGGTTGATGAGGTTTAGCTTCCTCATTGACCGAAGGAGAGTCCTTCCGGTCGATGAGGAAGCTATACCTCATCAACCGGAAGGGATTCCTTCCTGTTGATGAGCACAACACTCCTCTTCGACAGGATGGATTGTATTCCAATGGCTGAGGAAGATCTACCTCATCAACTGGAAGGAATGCCTTCCAGTCAATGATGTTGGGGGGTTTGCAGCAAGGGTTGGAATGACCGCAAGGTCTCTTCTCCCGACAATGAGGAAGCTACACCTCATTGACCGGAAGGGGTTCCTTCCGGTCAAGTGGGAGGGAGCGACTCCCAAACCCACTCATACATGAGGGGTGGTTTGGGGAGTCGACTCCCAAAAAAAATAATAAAAAAAATAAAATGAAATTGGGCGGACAACTCCCAGAATTCACCCACACTTTAGAAGACGACTCCCGATGGACGTCCGCTGACAGTCGTTGGGAGTCGTTGGCGAAAAAATGGGAGTCGTTTTTCCAAGTCCCATTTCATTTATATAATGATCAATCAATTCTACTATATCCTAACCTTGCAATTACCAATCATCATTGGAATTACCATATTTCAAACTCAAACATCTTGAATTTTTGCAGCAAGTGTAGCTAGAAGGGATACTCCTTGGCATATTGGTGGCTGACAACTGCACACAAGTAAAAGAGAGAGATAGAAGTGATGAGAAATGCCTACCAGTGCTCATGATGTATCATGATGTGTAGATAGCTTTCATCTTAATTAGAAAGGTGTTGATGTCCCCAGAATAAGACTTGACTGAAGTGTCTGGCTCAGGAAAGATTTGGTTTGGGAAAGATTGCTTGATATTCATTGTAGTCTGGTGGAAGAAATAGACTAGATAAAAGTGCTTGGACCTATAGGCAACGGTGCAACATATACTATAAAATAAATTATTGCCCAATATTTTATATTTTATTGGTGTCCAGATAAAAATTATCTTTAATAAATATATTATATCTGTTTGCCAATAAAATAAATAGTATTTTATTGGATTCATTGGCAAACACATAAATTTTATCTGTTTGGAATATATTGTATTGGCCAATAAAATAAAATATTGGCACAGTATCGCAGGTATTCAATTTATTTTGTGTTAAATTCACTTTTTTTTTTGCAAGTGGGGCAAGTTACATGTGAAGTTCCCAATAAAGTCTTGAGATTTGCGCAGGGGAATTTACATAGGGAGAGATGAGAAAACTTTGAGCTAGGAAAAATTCACTCCTTCAAATGATCAGGGATACTCTTTGATTCTTCATAGGCCTTATCTTCCATTGCCTGAGTGATGATACTCTGTGCAGTTTCAAAAGAGTCATCCGGCTCCACCCCTTGGACCAACCATTGTTGCGAGCTGACACACCGTTCTATCGTTTTTGCCGCTAGACTACCTTGATCTTGCCCACAAGTATCCGCTGCAGCCAAAAAACATCTCTCAACACTTGCGGATGTGGCTGAACACGCCAGGTAGTCCCTGGCCAGAAGCGCTAAGACTGGAAATTCTTCGGCATGTTCCTTTCAGAGAAACAAATTAGACTTATAATACATGTAGAGTTGGAGAAAATAAACATACCTTCCACCATTCCAAACACTGACTAGCTTGAGAAGAAGGGAGCTTGTGTTTACCCTCTAGATAAATAGAAAGCTCGTCTGCCGCAGGTGCCGCAGCTTCCACAGGAAATTAATCAATATCCTCTCGATCCAGATTGGTTGCCTTTGATTTTGTTCCAATGAGTGCATCAGATTCGTCTGGCGAGCTTGATAAGGCAATATTTACTTGAGCATTCCTGGCTTCAAAGAGTTCGTGGATTAAATCATGAGCATGTTCGTAGTGACTGGGAAACAAGACCTTGAATATTGAAAGGCGGAAACTGGGATTGAGTATGGTCGCTATGACTACTGCGTCACACCTCATTGCCTCATTGAGATATGGTTTTGTCTTTTTTAGCATTGCTGCAAGCATGGTTTTAAATTCTGGTTGAGTCGAGATAGCAAGGTTTTTCTTGATGAATGTGATGATGTACTGGTACTCGGAGATCATCAAGCAAGAAGAGGAGTTGTCGCCTTCCATCTTCTTGGTGATAAAGTAGAACTCCTATGCAAATGAATCACAAAACATTTATTTTTTAGTGGAAATAAAACAGGGAATTGCTGATAAATTACAGACTAACTTACACCCAGAATTTTGTTTAATTGATTGACTACTTCCCATTCATCTCGACTTATCTCGGTGTCATTATAGTATTTCTTCCCCCCTTCTTGTTCCTGTCGATCCTTTTCATTTTCGATTAGTTTTTTGATGATTTGACGAGCTTGATACGCCCGAGTACGACTTTCAAACTTTATGTTCCAGCGAATACCATACCCAGCAATAAGGCTAGGTCCATGAATCTCAAGCTCTTTTGACCAAGTTTTGTACTCAGATCGTTTGACTGCTGAGGATGTGATCCTCTGAATAACAAAGTCAACCTAAATAATTTTATTTATAAAAAGATTAGTAACAATCAAACTTAATTCAATATCAAAAAGTCAAACTCATGCAGCAATTGTGTTACCTTTTTTAAGATTTTATCAAGTGTATTCTTTCCTTCTTCAGCTTTTTCCCAGGATTCCGGGTCTGCGCTATCCATTCCATCTATTACATCCTCGTCATTGGCCTCGTGTTCCACTTGGTGATTGTCGTCCACTCCTAAGATAATGTCCTCAACAGTAAACTGAGGAGCTTCTTCAATCTCTTCAGACTCTTCAATGATTGGGGAAAGTCTGGGGACGAAACCAAGATTTTCGACTTGAGATGGAAGCAATCCGCTGGTTGGTAGTTGAGTTGATTTAAGACCTGCGTTAAGGATGAGTGCGATCTTGTGGCAGAAACACCGGATGTGGTTTTTGGAAAGGTGAGGATTGATGCCAGTATTTTTGATCATGAGCCTGTCAACCTCAGAAGCCATGGTGAAGTTATTTGATCCAGAGTCGGTTTTCTGAGCCAAGATGTATTGAAATAAGAAAATTGTGTTGGTTCATCTGATCAGACAAGCAAAAAAAATTACAAAAGGAACTGGACGTATCTTCTCTTGAAGTTTTGACTTCCTCAGAATGTTTGCAAATGGGATTGCTAAAAGCTTTCCCTTGTGGCTGGATGCAATGTACTTCATCCCAAGATGCGAGATTTTGAAGATCCAATCATCAGTGATGTAAGCAACTGAGATCCCGAGAAATGCGTGGTGATTTCCTTTAGTGGTCCAGACATCGTGAATCAGGGTAAATTTAGAGCTGAGTTTCTGGAAAATCAGAATCATGTTCAAAGTCAGATGAGTGCTTCCAAATAACAGATATCTTTGAGGGATTAACCCACTTGTAAGCTTGTAATCACTTTGCTCTGTAAATTCATATAGAGACGATGTGCCTCGGTGGCTGCCCAAGTCCGAGAATAGATGGAGATACCTTGCCTGACATAATTGAAAGTGACACAAAGTAGGAAGTCGTCAAACCGGCTCCAGGGCATAGAATATCGAATCCGCCAGATTAACAGGAGTTGATTGAAGACCCTGTTGTCAAAGGCAGCGTGTGTCAGAGATCCCTTGACCTTTGTTTGGTGTCAATCATTGTCCTTCTCTGCGATATCTTTCTTTGACAATGGCAATTTGCACCCTGCCTCAATGGCTGCCGATCGTCCGGAGCAGTGTGGCCCCTTTTTAGTTCCATCGCGGTGCTTGAGCAGGTTTGAGTTTGTTCCAACACCCTTCTTGTAGGGTTTACTGCACCACTTGCACTTGAAACTCAGTTTATCTCCCTTAATAAAGGAAAATTATATCATCAGTCACTTTATCTGATGATTCTCTATACTTAATCAGAAGGCAGAAACTTACTTTGTCCGTTTGTTTAGCATGAAATGGGGCCTCAAAGTAATCAAGGATATTGTCGAGGTTACTAGTTTTCTTCTTGCTTGATCCCTGGACCTTTGAGTTTTCTTTGTCTGAGTCTTGAGTGTGATCGATGACACCGTCCACTTTGTCAGAATCATCATCTGTGTTGGTAGTGATGGAGGACCTTGCTCTCTTGCGCTGCTTGGTTGAAGGAGGTTTGCGTGTGCGCTTTTTCTTGGATTGCTGATTTGACGGGATTTGAACAACAGACTCGGCTTCGCTTTCGGAATCAAGACTATTCCCCTTTTGTAGAGATTGGCTAGTCGGTCCAACTGACCTTCGCAAGTCACGGCTAGGCCTAACGTAGCTAGAGCTTGCGGTTGGAGTGATAATACAAGTAGACTGACGGGAGGGTAGTCTAGAGGGGGTTCCGCGAGGAGTAACAGAGGATCTGGCCATTGGACTAACAGTCCAATTTTCCACACTGGTGGCAGAACCAATCAAACAAAATATCCAATCAATCAGTGATGATGGGACAGAGGCTTGGGGGTGGCACTTGTCAAAAGATAAAAAAAAATTGAAGATTTGATTGCTCTAATGAAGAAAAATTAGAAAAAATAAGAAGAATTTTTTTGGGGTGAAATTGAATGAAACTAATAAAGAACAAACATTTGTGGTAGCTCAGGTTTGAGTGAACAAGGTGAGTTTTAGATTGCAAAGTTGAATTTACAGCAGATCAAAGTTGGGCCTTGATTGATCAGCAAGGATTGGACGGGGTTTGGTGGTGGCAGCCGTCAAACAAAGTGTTAAGTTTTGAACTTTATTGCTAAGAAAATAAGACCAAACTATAAAAAAAGGGTTAGAAACAACAAAGAAATATAACAAACAGAAAAAGAATAAGAATATAGATGAAAATGTACCTGGTGAGGTAGTTTCAATACTATGAAATAGGCTAAGGCACTTATTGTGTAGAGGAGTCAGTTGAAGATGTTGATCCTCAAGAGAGCAAAAATTGAGAAAGGAGTTTTGAGTGGGAATGGGAGAAGATCAGTGAGCTGATGAGAAAGTGATCCAAAACAGCCAGGTCTAGGTTTACTCTTCCTGGTGAGAGTTAGTGTGTTGGTACACTGTCTGAACACAACATGAAAGGAAAAAAAGTCATTGATTGGTCAGTATGTGGGTCCTTCATTTCTTTGATAGACTGGCCACTTGGCAGCCAACTGGCTGCCAAGTGGGCAGGGGATCACACTTTTTTTGGACTTGACAGCAGCAGGGCTGCAGGTACGGAGCAATCGGCCGCGCGAGAAGAATCGTCCAAGCGAGATCGTTTGCTTTGTCCGGCTCGTTCAAGCGAGGCTGCAGGCTGCTGTTGGGGGTCAGATGCTGGGAGGAGAGATGCAATTGGTTAGCATACTGGCCCCCATTGGTTTCATAACAGCTGATGCCCACTTGGCAGCCAGTTGGCTGCCAAGTGGGCAGGGGATCACACTTTTTTTGGACTTGAAAGCAGCAGGGCTGCAGGTACGGAGCAATCGGCCGCGCGAGACGAATCGTCCAAGCGAGTTTGTTTGCTTCGTCCGGCTCGTTCAAGCGAGGCTGCAGGCTGCTGTTGGGGATCAGATGCTGGGAGGAGAGATGCAATTGGTTAGCATACTGGCCCCCATCGGTGTCATAACAGCTGATGCCCACTTGGCAGCCAGTTGGCTGCCAAGTGGGCAGGGGATCGCAGTGCTCACTTGTTTTGGACTTGAAAGCAGCAGGGCTGCAGGTACGGAGATCGATCGGCCGCGCGAGACAAATCGTCCAAGCGAGTTTGTTTGCTTTGTCCGGCTCGTTCAAGCAAGGCTGCAGGCTGCTGTTGGGGGTCAGATGCTGGGAGGAGAGATGCAATTGGTTAGCATACTGGCCCCCATCGGTTTCATAACAGCTGATGCCCACTTGGCAGCCAGTTGGCTGCCAAGTGGGCAGGGGATCGCAGTGCTCACTTTTTTTGGACTTGAAAGCAGCAGGGCTGCAGGTACGGAGATCGATCGGCCTTAAACGACAATCAGTATTGCTTGCGGCAACAGAACAAATGCCTTGATTGATTGGCGAGCATCAAACGGCCGCGGTGTCGGCAGCAGACTCGGTGGCATCAGCAGAGCAAATAGTGGCCTAGCAGGAAGGCCTCGATGAATCTGATAGCCTGCTTGATTGATCCAAAAAAAAGGATGTCAGCAATCAGGTTGATTGATCCAAAAAAAAAACATACCTTACTTACTAGGGTGAGGATGCAGTATTGCAAGGAGAGAGGGTGTGGTTTGATGAATTTTTTGAAATACCACCGATAAATTCAGATATTATTATTTTATTTTATTGGCCAAGCCAATAGGTTCATGATGAATAAAGTTTATTTTATTGGCTGCCCAATACATGTGCCCATGAATAAAAATTATTGGGCCAGGGGCCCAATACTATACTTAGCCCAAATATTGGGTGGTATTCATATACAATACCACCCAATACCAATACCCAGCTAATATCTGTTGCACCGTTGCTATAGGTCAGACATAGCAACATATGTGACAATGCATATCAAAGACAATCAAGGAGAAATGGTCAAATGAGTGACTAGGGCAGGAGTTGAGAATTTGAACAAGATACATAAAAAAAGGAAATGGTTGTTGAGACCTAGTTCCCAGAAGAAAAGGGAATGATGATGTTCAAATCAGGTTCACTTAAGGGGAAGTGCCTATCTTTCTTGTGAGATTTTGGCAAACAGCCTTGACATTTCGCTTTATCCATTTACCTGCCTCTGTCTCTGTTGTACATACAAGGCTGCAAAGATGTTTGGTTGGGGTTTAAATTATTTATATTTCCCGCATGTGGTTAGTTGATATAATAAATTGCCAACTTGGAGTCAAAAAAAAAAAAAAAAAATGAAATTTGAGGAGTGCTTGCCTAACAGAATGGGCACTTTGTCTGATATACCTCTATTCTATTGCCATGACCTCTCGGGCACGTAAATTTGACCTTCCAGGTGTACGAATGACTTCCACATGAAGCCTCGGCGACTGTGGACATTTCCTCTTCAGCACCACATTTCGATACAAACCTGCAACAACGGGCTAATTGTAACATCATGATGGATGATACCAACAAGGCAAACGTATGCTTGCAACTCATTATTCCGAATCTGTCTATAGCAGGGTGTTGAAGTTGCCCGCAAGGAAAACTTGTCAGTCATACATCCCATTGACGTTGTGTGCTATAACAGAACCAAACCTGTGCACACCTGTCTTGAAGTGATCCAACAGAAACACAGAATATGATTATTATGAGACTTTGATCAACCTGGAGGAGGGCGGGTGTGAAAGCGCAGAGGTTGAACGTAAAGATGACAGGGGTGAAGAGGCAAAAAGAGGGAGAGAGTCATCGGTTCTTATGGACAACGGCTCACTGCAACAAACTGCGAGATAGCGTGCCTAGAGCCTGCCGTGTCGTCTTATCGAACCTCAAACGCCGCAGTTATTTAAGTAAAAAAGATATGATCCTCAAACGAAGGTCAATGTGCCGCTTCATCAAGACATCCGAAAGTAATCTTGGCTTGTCTACGGATGGTCCCGGCTGTCAGCGTACGAGGTACATACAAATTGTTTGAAGTAATGCTTTTATTTCAAGTTGTTTGTGAGCAAAATCGCTCAATAAAACATGAGAACTTAACTCGGAAGGCTTGCTTGCGGGATAAGATCCTCAGACCAATTGAAGCACATGTCTCTCCATTAAAGACATCCGAAAGTTGTTTTTGGCTTGTCTGTGTATGGTTCAGGCTGTCATCGTACGCGGCGAACCTCTTTTTAAGGTTGTTTTGAGGACTTTTGTAAATCGGAAGGCTTGCTTGCGCGAGATGAGCCTCAGACCAAGGGCCACTAATGTGCCTCTACACCAAGAAAACCAAAGTTATCTTGGCTGGTGTGCGGATGGTTCCGAGTATTACAAGGTGAACCTCTTTTACTTCAATGTTCAAGGACGTTTTAATGATTTAGGCGAACTATTCAGGAGAGATGAATTGAGGTGAAAAATCACTGCTTGAAGGTTGGAGTCAGTTTTCTTGGTTTTTTAAAGTTTGAAATGAGGCTGAGTGGCTTACATAATCCAATCAGTCGATGGCTGAAATTGGCAAGTCTCGACTTCCTCCACTCCTTCCTTCCCTCTCTCCCTCTTCCTCTCCCTCCCTCTCCCTCTCTCTCCCTTTCCCTCTGTTGACCATTCCCAACAACAACCAAGACATTCTTACTCTATTCTTTTGCCGTCATGCCTCTGTTCGGAAACAAACGAAAGAAAGAATCGAGTACCGATAACAAGATCACCAGCAACAACAACAACCAACAACAACAACAACAACAGCAGCAGCAGCAGCAGCAACAGCAACAGCAGCAACAACAAGCAACCGAACTGCACCAACCCTCATCCTCAATCGACTCACTCCAACCCAGAATAAACCAACAACATCCTTACAACACCAATAATCCTAATCCTACCAACTATCAACAAAACCCAACTCAAAACAACCCCAATCATCATCCTAACAACTTCAACCATCATCCATCACTCTCACCCGCCTCATCTCTCCATCAGCAACCCAACCCATCAAAACCAACTCAACCACCACCATCTCACCCGCCACCACCACCATCACAACATAACACCTCTTCTTCAACCGTCATCTATCCCTGGTCCCATCGTCGACTAGGGCTCCTACCACCCGCCCCATTCCCCGGTGATCCCCTGCCACCCGATCTCAACGAGTCCTCAGCACTCAGGCCATCACCTCCCCCCTTCCCTCGATATGGCCACTCGATCAACCCCATGGGCACCCCAACCGGATCCGGTGACATCTACATCTTCGCCGGTCTCGTCAAGGATCAAGTCAAGAATGACCTCTACGTCCTCAACGTTGCCCCGATCAACCCATCCAACCCACCCAACTACCATCTCCATAATCAGATCCTGACCGTAGGATTGGTTGAAACTAGGGGCGAAGTACCACTGCCCAGGGTTGGCCATGCCTCAGTCGGCGTCGGTAACGTGCTGATCGTCTGGGGTGGTGATACGAAAACGAGGGATGACGAAAAACAGGACGATGGTCTCTATCTACTCAACCTGTCCACTAGAGAATGGACTCGAGTCAAGGTCTCTGGCCCTTGTCCTGAAGGTCGTTACGGTCATTCGGCTGCCATCCTCGGCAGCAAATTTTACATCTTTGGTGGCCAAACCGATAATGGTCGATTTATGAACGATCTATGGAGCTTTGACCTCCACAAACGTGACTAGCACCTCTCCCCACTCCTATCCCTCATAACTATCAACTTATCATCATCTCTCCTTTTACCTTTTCCTTGCAGTTAAATCAGGTGCTCCAAGATGGCATCTAACCGAATTCTCCACAACAACACCAATTCCATCCGAACGGACTGGCCATACCGTCGTCACTTTTAAAGATTCGATCTATGTCTTTGGTGGCACGGATGGTCAATATCATTATAATGATACCTGGAAGCTTGACGTCAGTACCGGCACGTGGAAGGAACTCGATTGTATCGGTTATATCCCTCTTCCTCGCGAAGGACATGCAGCCACCTTGGTAGATGATGTGATGTATGTCTTAGGCGGCAGAGGTGTTGATGGCAAAGACTTGGATGATCTAGCCGCCTTCAAAATCTCCAGTTAGTTCTTTTCCTCTTCTTCCCATAATGATGTCTACACATATTTGTCTGATCTAAAACTGTTTTCCTACAGATCAAAGGTGGTACATGTTTCAAAACATGGGACCCGCGCCCGCTGGTCGATCAGGACATTCTATGGCATCGTGGCAGGGAAAGGTCTACGTGCTCGGTGGTGAATCCTACACCTCTGCCAAACCAGACGACCCTTCGATCGTTCACGTACTCGATACTGCCAAGATCAAGTATCCACTCGATCCCACATCAGTCACTCGCCAACAGGCCGCCCTCTCAACGAGTCACAAATCCTCCGATGCGAGTCTCAACGATCCCAGTATCCATTCAAACAACTCCATGGGTAATCGACCACCTGTGAGCAGCAATCTTGCAACCACCGAATCCGACCAAGGCACGGATCGAGGCCCCAGGCGTGCCACCACCGGTTCTGCCTCTTCCACCATGTCTCGCCCGCGTCGCCCAGACGATCCTCCAGCCGCGGGACCCGGCTCGAATGCCAGTAATCGTCGGACGATCAGTGCGGCAACCTCGCGAACCATGTCTCCCCAAGGGATGCCTGCTTCACAAACGACGTCACCCCATGGCCAAGTATCAGCCACCAACAATGAATCCATTCCCCGCCAGTCCATCTCTCCGAGCTCCCAACCTGCCCCAAGCCGAGGATTGGATAACGCGCCCGTCAATAATAACCCCAAAACCACGCGGACCCCCCAATCAAACACTGTTGGTACCTCGCGGCAAACCAGTTCCCCAGTACCTCGGCGGGTATCCGCTGAGATCACTCGCATGCTCAACTTTAATTCTTCATCTCCCACTTCTAAGCTTGCCCAACAAATCCCATCCAATACCCAGCGGCCAAAGCCTAGCCATCAGCAGTCTGGCTCTTCCTCGTCTTTCTCTTCGCTCGCCGATCCATCTTCACTCCTGAGCAAACAAAACGGCTGGATGAAAGCCGCTCTGGCCATGGCCGTCCAACAAGGCTTCATGCTCCCTCCATCTGACGAACACCCCCTACTCACAGACGAGCGGTCTTGGTTGATGAACTTTCAGGAGCAAGAATCTGGTCAGAATCATGCGATCAATAAGGATAAGGGGATGCAAAGATTAATCGAAGCGCTCGTTCAACTAAAACGCGAATTGAATAAAGCAAAGGTACGGATGCATCGCCTTTTACACGCTTCCTTTTTTTTTTTCTAACTCTGTACTCATACTCCCTGTCGTTTGAATCATTCTCTATCTTGGTAGAGTCAAATGGCTGAACAGGCCAAACATCTAGACAATCGACTTACTGAGACAAGTAAGACAAAGACAGCAGCCTTGCAAGAGGCATCTTTCTATCGAGTCAAATTAGCTGCCTATGAAGCTTCGTCTGTCTCTGAGATTAACAAACTCGAGAGACAGCGTATCAATGACTTGGAGCACAAGCTTTCGGAATTAGTTGTATCAAAGTCGGCCTCTGAACGTCAAGTGGCCCAATTGACAAGCGAATTGGAGCAGGAACGGATCCTTCGAGAGGTCTCGCAAGAAAATTCTAATAAGAGTCACGATCGCTCCGAGCAACTTCAAGCGCTACATTCACAGCTGGTGATTGATTACGAGGAGCTTTTAAATAAAACCCGAGGGATGGATGTCACTTCGACGGACTCGGCCCAACAGTACCAATCTTTACAGACTTCTCATCGCGCCATCCTTGCTGAGTTGGAAAACTCGAAACAAAAACTAGAGAGTACTCAATTGGTCAACGAAAAGTATCTTGTCACCCTCCAACATCTCCAAAAATCTATGGACGCCAGCCGTTCTAAGGTAGATGAGGTCCAACACTCTTGGGAACAGGCCAAGTCGGACTTGGAAGCCCAGAAAACGCTTGCTCAAGATCTCAGTCGAGAGTTAGATTCGAAACTTCTAGAGCTCGATCACTCGAGGGCTAAGATTGAGGAGATGGAACAAGCTCTAAGGACCGTCCAGGACGAGAACGCGGCCTTGAAAACTCTCAATGAGGATGGGATCAGTCAGCTGATCAATGCCACACGATCAATTCCAAATGACCTGGCCTCTAGTACCAAATCATTCAATGACGATTCGGTCAAGATGCGCAGTCTCAGTAATGATGTTCAGATGACCAGTCAACAAGATGAACTCGCGTCGAACCAGGACTTATCACGCAAAAAACTGGAGACCACAGTCTTGGAACTCAACGAGATTCGCTCACGAAACATGTCACTCGAGATGGATCTGATGAGCTCGAAATCAGAAATTTCTGCGTTACGTAGGAAGATGATTAATCTGATGAGCGATTCAAACAAGATCAGGTCTCAGATCTCTTCGCAGGACCATGAACTGAAAGAAAAGAATCGAATGATCGAGGCAGCTGAGGTTAGGACATCGTTACTCAAGAATCTGATGTCCGAGAATGGGGCGATCGGAGGAACGACGGAAGACGAGCACGGATGTAGATCGTTTGATTCGAATGTGCCAGGTACATTTGGAGCAGGAGGAATGTTATCGGCGAGTCTGGGAAGTGGTTCACTCCCTGTGGATGGCGAACGACTGGCGAAGCGGGTCCATGAGCTGGAAGTGCAACTGGAAGAGCGATCGCGGGCGCATCGGGGCCTGGAGCACCAGTACGAGGAAACTCAGAAGGAGATGGAGATCGCTGAGAGTCGGTACCGCGAGGCGCACCGGAAGCACGAGGCGGCGGCGGATGAGATAGCGTCCTTGGTAGAGGAGGTGCAGCGGCTGCGGTCGGGCGGGGCTTCGTCGGTGTCCCCGGCCTCGGTGGAGGGCAATGGGAAGGTGGAAGAGGAGCTGCAGTCGTTACAAGAGAAGCATCGGACGCTCGAACAGACCCACGTCAAGGCGGTGCAGTACGTGAAGGGGACTGAGAAAATGCTTCGGCGGATGAAGGACGAGTTGGTGAAGTACAAGGAACGGACGGCGACGCTGGAGGCCGAGCTCTCTACCCTTAAACGCACCGAACTCGCTCCACATTCCTCGACCGCCGAAGGGAGCGAGATGCGAGAAGAGATGAAAGGGCAACTCCAAGAACTGACCGCGCAACTCTCCTCGCTCCGAGAGAGCTCCCGCTCTTCTCACATCGAGAACGAAGAACTCCAGCGTCGGATGCTGGCCATTCGGCAAGAGTATGAACGTGATATGCACACCCATGCCGAGCTCAATCAGGCCCAGATCGAGAAACTCCAGGCCGATCTCGAGGAACTTCATCATCTCAATCAAACCCTCAAGGCGGATTATAATAAACTCTCGGCTGAGAACAATCGACTCAATGAGCTCATCAAAGCCTCTAAAAACTCGATCAATAGGGTCATTGCTTCCGATGGCTCCAATAATAAACATCACCATTCTCATTCTTCTAATGACTCTCACGATGATCTTTCAACTCTTAATTCTTCTCAGAATCAAACGCAGATTAGAGAAATCGGATGGCTTAAAAAAGAAAACTTGGAGTTGCAAACTCGGTGTCAAGATGCTGAAGCTAAGGTATATCTCTTGTGACAAAGATCTTGATCTATTCATCATTTAACTAAGTTTGAAGAAATTGATTTTTGTGTTTGTTTTGATCTTTGTGTCGGGAATGATAGATTTCGTTGTTGTTGGATCACATGGATAATCGATCAGGTAAGATCCAAACCGTATTCCCCCAACCAACCAAGCGAAAGACGAAAAGGACTGATGGAGATGAATTTCTTGAATACGTGAATCAAATAAAACAAAAGACGGGAACAGACGGTCGACAGGAGTAGAATCGATCCAATCGGATTACAGCAGCTTTGGAACCGAGATCCTGGGGGCGCTAGCCAGCCAACAGACCGGCCCGCTCCAGATGAACCAAGCCAACAACCATCCTACTGGCCCATTGCTCCACCCGCATCCGTCCCAGAAACCGTTGCTTCCTCGTACCCCCTCGAATACTAATCTTACGACGACGACTGCTATCACTAATATGAGAAATATTGGGGGTAGTGGCGGATCGGTCGGACACGGCTCCGAGAACGGCTCGTCACCCGCTACTCCTACTCCCATCTCTGCTCCCCATATCCCTTCGTAATCTTCCCCTTCCCTTTTTTTTGTCTCTCTCTTTGTTTTTTGATGGATCCGCCTCTGCTTTTTGGTGCCGTTTGGTTTGGTGGGCGGCTTTTTTTGGACTCGGACTCGGATTCGGATGTGGGATCGCGGTTCGGTTTTTTTGGTTTCTGGTTTCTGGTCTCTCTCTTCCTCTCTCTTATGTTTTGCCAAGTCTTTAATCTTTGATCTATACACTCTGTGTTCTGTTTCCTTTCTCTCTGTTCTATGTCTCTCTCTCTCTGTGTGTGTGTTATGATTCTCTTATGAACTATGGGTGTGAACCTTCAACCTCAACCTCCTCCACTTTTCCTTAATAATCTCTCTCTTCTCTTTGATCTTTGTGATCCTTTTTTTTTATCATACGACTTACGATCCTTCCTTCCTGTTTTTTTTGTTGTTGATGATGATGATGATATTATAAGGTGATGAAACCGGTCCACTCCAGCCCATGAAAATTCTTTTGTTTGTGTTTTTTGGATACATACATACATAAATCTTTATCTTATTTATTGGTTTTATCTCTCATCTTCATATTTGTTTGGTTGGTTGGTTGTGTGTCTCGAATTGATTGTGAGTTTCTAACTCTGAATACTAAAGAGATATGTATGTGATCATGATCAAGTTTGGTACAATGATTGATGTGATGGATTGCTCAGGTTCTTGTACATCCTCCCATGCACACATATATTTATCACAAGTGATCAAGATTGGTAACTGAGACACACACTCTCCAAAAGGGCCATAAAGCAGATCTGAGTATCTTGGCCTCTTCCTGTCCCAGCCATTGGATAAATCAGTTTGAATTTTGGCCTTGGGATGTGGTCTGTTTTCCAGAAAGATCATCATGGGCCAAAAAAAAAAAGAAATGTCTAGAAAAGACCTGTGGAGGAGTGATTGGATGACTTCCTGTTGCAGTTTACAACCCTCCCAAATTTGATTTACACCCCCTAGATCTTAATTTTTGGTATAAAAAAAATTCTTTTTTCACAAGCCTTGTGAAAATAGCTTGATTGAAGTGTTAATTTAGGACTGGGGAGGGCTTAAAACGCACTCTAAATGCCAACAGGAAGTCCTCCATTGTCTACATATTTATGTACCTGTTGGCAATCGTCCTCAGCAGCTGGCTCCAACGGCAGCATAAAGTGTTTCCCGGTTGTTCATGATCCACTCATTGATTGACTACAGAAGAACTACTTTGGAAACATCCTGCCCTCCTCATCCCTGATTACTTCAGCTACATGCAAAGCACTTTGGAGGGCTTGCAGGCTTGTGAGAAATACATTCTTCATTTTGGCCCTGTGTGTATGTGTATAGTATTTATGGTATTCAAAGTTAAATTTCATAAAGTCATAAGCACATAAATCGTATAATCATAAAACTATTTTGGCTGGGAAAGCCAAAGCTTACATAATCAGATTACCAAGATCGCCTGCAAACAAGGTTTCAAGATCTTATGATTTATGTGGTTATGATTTTATGAAATTTAACTTTGAATACCATAATTGGCTGGTTGACTTGTAACATGATATACATGCTTTTTTTTTGGTGCCATCAAACCTCAGACATTTGGATGGTATTGTATAAGTAAACTCTTTCAATTGTCTCATTATCAAATTTTTCATCATCTTTTTTTTTTTGGGAATTGTCAAGCTGTTTCATATACTCCAAAAAATAAGTCAGAGAAAACACACACACACAGGTACCCTCACAAATGTTTTATAAATATATTACATAAGGGAGCATAATTTATTCTTGATTAAAAGAAGAAGAGGAAGCTATCAAGATCTAGTTGCTACATAGAGTTTTGGCAGGAGTATTGGATGACTTCTTGTTGGGCTTTACAACCCTTCCAGAATTTGATTTATGCCCTCTAGATCTTAATCTTTGGGGTTTACAATGGGAAGTCTTCCATTGTTGGAGATTTATGACCAACTTGGTTGAGCATGGTCTGTGTTCCTTTGAAATCAATGGGTGTGAATTGGTTTCATTAACCATTCAAGAGAAATGAAGCAAATATGTAAGTCATATGTAGTCATGATGTCAGACATGACCTTGATGTCAATTTTATTCCTTGATGTGGCAGTGTGCATGTCAGTTGGTGTGCTCACAGCTCTGACATCAGCTGTTTGTGTATTTAGGTTGGACTGATCTTCCTATCATCATCAACAGGCAATGTATAGTTATGTAAATAGTTGGTTGGCGGTTGAGATGTGTTGGACGTCGATCAATTAATCTGATTCTGATCTAATCGAGGGCCACGAAACGGCTTACCTAATCCGCCGTTCTGTCTCAGTCTTACCCAAAACTGACTTCACAGCCCATTGATCACACCCTCCTCCTCCCTTTCATGACTGGCACAGCAACCCACCCCAAACGGCTCGACGGTTCGATATAATACATACGCACTCCCATAACTGGATGGTCAACCTCAACCTCAACCTCTTGACCATTAACTAACTAACTAATCAAGCAGCACTCCCATCGCCATGAGTACCATTCGGAGAGTCCCCAAGCCAAACCCAACCCCAAACCAGCAGCAAGCCAATTCAAATCATCAAACTACCTCATCGAGCGTAAATACAAGCGATGGCCAACCCAGCCTCATTACCCTGACTATGTCAGTATCG